GGGTAGCAGCCCTTTCTGGGACGAGCAGGAAGAACGCCCAACGATGCCGCGCCGGTCACTTACATCCTACAAGTGCGAGGAGCCTTCTGGAGGTCTCCCCGGGAGATTCCACGCGCTGATCTGTTAACACGTGGTGGTGACAGAGGGCGGAATTCACTCGCGCTAAGGACACTGGAAAAGGAACTGCAAAAGGTCTAAGTGGGGGGGCTTCCCTGGCGGTCCAGTGGTTAGGACTCTGCGCTCTCGCTGCCGAGGGCGTGGGTTCAGTCCCTGGTCGGGGAACTAAGATCCCACGCGGTGCAGCCAGAAAACAAATCTAAGTGGGAACAGCGTTCAGGACAGTAGAGTGAGGTTCCCGCCTTGGGGACAGGGCGTGGGAACAACTGAAGGGTCAGCCCCACTCCGGATGGCCCTGCGCAGGGCTGGACTCTGCGGCGCGCCTGCCGTGCGGGCTGGCGGGGACGGCACGTCTGTGCTTTCCCCTCCACCCCCAGCAGCTCTGCGGGTCATCGGGTCCCGGAGAGTGTGCAGCAAACTGAGCCGCCACGAAGAAACGCTTCTCCTTACGCTTGTCCTGACTCAGCGCCGTTGGGGCGCCAAGGACACTGGCGATGTGCGGGGTGTCCCAGGGGAACAGCGGGGCTGAGGAGGGGCGTCTGGACTACGTGTCTCCCACGCCCAAGGGCGGGCGCCTCTCCAAACCCGGAGTCCTGCGTGACCCCAGGGGCAGCCCCATGCCGGACGCACCCCCCCAAACCCTGAGCCTCCCCGGGGCCCGTAGCGCCCACCTCCTTCTGCACCAAACCTTTCCCTGGAGAAGGAGCCGATGCAGGCTGGCCCCAAACCCCATTTTCTGTTTGGAGCCGCAGAAAACGGGGTTGAGGGGGAGGGGTGGCCGACAGCGCCTACCTGCCCGGCTGACTCCGGGCACTGAAGGTCCGTCCTGAGCCCAGGAGCACAGCTCCGTGTTGTGTCCGGATGGCACAGTCCCAGGGGGGCGGCCACCGCCCTGCCTTCCACGGCCTTGGGCTGGCCCAGTGGGTCAGCCTTCTTACAAAGTCCTGGGCAGGTGGGACCGACCGTTTCGTCAGACATCAGCGGAATCCTCCACCGGTAAGTGGTGATGTTTTAGCACCGTCTGCGGGGCAACTATGTCCCAGAGGCCTTCTGGTCCTGAGCCATGACTGAGGAGCTTGGGGTGGGGGGAGCGGAGGACCCCTGGGGCAGGCGAGCAGCGCCTTCTCAGACAGTGCACCCCTGCCCCGCAGCCCCCGGCCTCACAGTACTTGGAGTCCCTCCGCGTCTCTGACCCCTGGCAGGATGTCGGGGCTCCTGTAGGTGGACTATCCCCACCACCTGGTGGATCTGGAGCCCAGAGCACGCAACATCGCCCCCTTCCTCTGAGCTGTCACAGGACAATTCCATCTCCCCACTGTGGGTTCAGCCTTTGGGGAGCACTTTCAGACCCGCTGCTGGGCGGCCACTTGGACCAGGCTGTGCTCTCAGGCTCCACGCTGGGAGAAGACACGGGAGGCGAGCCCCCAGCGCAGGCCTGGGGTGTCATCCCATTTCCTAGTGGGGCTGTTCCTGTATGACCACCCCAAGCTCTCCCCTTGCTGTCTGGGGTGTGTATGTGTGCGTGTGTGTGTGCCAATACACGTGTGTATGGGGGGGGGGCGCCTGTAGGCATGTGCTGGTACTCGCATGCTCTGAATTCAGGATATATTTTTAAAGCTACATCGTGGGTAGACGTGTGCGCGCCAGGAGCGCCGGTCCCAGCCCGGCTTTCCCAGGTCTCAGGGCGGACGTGGGCCCATCCCCACTGCCGGCACCGGCCCCAGAGCAGAAAAGCACATACGCAGGGGCCGTTCCCAGAGCAGCAGTGACACCATGGTTCTTTTAGCTCGGTTTATTTTCACAAGACAGACAAATCAGACCCTGGAATAGCTCTTGGTTCTGACAAGAGTTCTTTTCTTTATAAAGAAAAAGCGTTCCTGGGTTTTCTCCACAGAATGCATTTGTTTTTACAAAAAAATAGTTTTTGATATATACATGCCTACTTTGGAAACCTTGAGTCCTGGATGGCTTTTAAGACCCGTTTTTAGGCAGAGGGTCACTTAGCATGCTTTATGCACCAACAGACTTTTCTCCCTTGTTTCCGCCTGACGGTTGCTCTCCTTCTCGATTTCCCTTCCGAAAGCAACTGACATGAAATGGAAAGGCTCAGAAAGTGTCCTCACGACAGCCTCGGGAGGGTCTGTTCAGGCGAGGACCCCCGCGGGCCAGGATGTGCCTGGAGGGCCTTTCCTTTCCTGGGAAAACCCTCCGCAGACCAGAAGCAAAGGGACAGAAGGAGGCAGTCAGTCACTTTTTCTTGTAGCGGGGTTATTTTATCCCCCTCTTTCACAGCAGCAATTTTAATCAACGAGTATGATGCCCACAGCATTTTATCTAGAAAAGTACTGCCACTCAGGCAGGCTCAAGCACGCCTGCGTACAAAGTGACCTTCGCAAGCGCACGGCAAATGCAGCCAGTTTTACGGGATACAGGCTTTTAGAGTCGAAGTTATAGCTCCCCCCACTCCCTCCCCCCACAAGCTCCCACAGACCAAAAATACCGCTCTCCTCAACTACACAAAGCTGTAGCAAATTTGTAAAAATGAAGTGTACAAAAGGAAGCGTCCGTATAATACATTTGCACCCTGCATACAATGTATCACCCTTCGAAGCTGGCCAACGGTCAGGTACGGCAGAGGGTCGACAATAGAAAAAGAACCCCGACGTCTGTCCCACACATTTGAGTCGATGGTTGGTGTGATTTTCCAAAGAGAGATATTTTCATTTACAGCTACAGTACTTGCTGACGACCCTTATGATTAAGAAGCCAGGTGAATTTCCCGGCGTTTAGGCAAGTATTATTTGATTGTCACCACGTACAATTCTGAGACAATAAATACAAGTAGATCAGATGCATTTCTTCATGGTATCAAGTAACTCCAGTTTAATACAATTTAGTGCATTTCAGCATCTCGTTCACAGTTCAACTTCTGTCCAAAATACTTTTGCAACAAAAAGTTAAGAAACGGAAAAGTTTATGGGAAAAGAAAACTCCAAGTGAACTTGTCATCACAAAGCTTAAAACTTTAAAGTGATTCAATTGTCTTTGAAAAGAACACGCGGCTGCTGCCAGGTGTCAGCCACCCTGTGATTTCCTGGGCTCCCCGAAGCGCTCTTATGTCCAGAGCGTTTTGTGGGAAACGCCACCATTGCCAACGAGTTAGCTAGTGGCTGAGGCCTGCGGTGAACTTAATTCACGTGTGTCCACCCCTTCCGTCAAGCAGAGTGCAGTGTGACATCTCCTACCCAAAACACGCCCTGCATTTTCGTGTCCTGGCCCTGATACGCAAGGATGCAGAACCCGCAGGAACATCTGCACACACCCGGCAGCACCTCGTGGGACCAAGGCAGGGCCGTGGCCGGGGTGTGGCCGGCGCCATGGGCCACGCCCAGGTGCTGGGGAGAGGCTTGCCTTTGCTTTGGGAGCTAACTTGCTAGAGAGAGGGGCAGACACGTGGGCCGGGGACATGCTGTCTCCAGACGGAAGGCAGGTAGGCACGTCAGGCCCATGGTTTAACCCTAAGCCCGGTTACACTGCAGAGGGTTGAAAGCCACGCGGCACCACTGCCCGCTGTGTCGCATGCCGGGGCTGCATGCAGCTGTGGGTGAGAAATTTGCAGCACGAGTTCACACACAGGGTCGGACAATTCAGCTGAGAATCAGTTGGGCTGAGAAGATTCTATCTGGCTTGTCTACAGGTGTCTTGGGCAGAGACAAAGCAACATGCAGAGAGATACTTATTCTTCACCCCAAATCTGACACAAATGGGGGTCCCATGGGCACGGACAGCTTGGAGACGGCTCTTGGCCTACACGTGACTGCACGCACCGCTTTCTCCCCAGATCGATTTCGGTGCTCAGTAACTAGTGTGACAAAGAGCGTGTACCACGGTGCACACGGCGGGGACGGGGCAAACGGGGTGGAGATTCCAAACTGACTGGCGATCATGCCTGCACTGCCTTTGCAAGAAAGTTCTGTTCACGCCGCTGATTTGTGTCATTGCTGAGTGGTTTGTGTAGAGACCACTCTTCAGCCTGACTCTGTGCTTCTCAGGCAGGGGCTGTGGACAGACAGGGCCATGCATCCCGTACGCTGTCACCAAAGACCGGATGACCGGCATCACTTCTTTCTTTGGGGTTAAAACTCTTGTCAGTGGTCTCCCCGACCAGGTAAGCCTTTCCCCAGCGTCTGCTCACCTGCAGGAGTGAAGCCATCTCTGCTCAGTGCTGTCACAAAGACCCCGAGAGGGGCCAGAAAGTCCCCAGGTGCTGGTAGCTGTCAGAAGGTTACCATGAAATGCCACAGGCACCCTAGAAGCCCCCTGGAACTTCCCAGAGGGGACTGCTGGACACACGGGGAGGGCCCAGAAGCCAAACTCTACTCGCCAGGCTGCACCAGGATACGTGTGCAGGTGACAAAAGACATGGCACCGGGACCTGAGCTGAGAAACACGCCGGCCAGCAGCACCCCGGCTCAGAACTCAGTCTGTCGGGCACTTGTGGGAGGGGCCCAAGGCCTGGGGCCCCGCCCTTTGTATATCTCCAGTGGGAGGGGGGCTGGCCCTGGAGGCTGCCCCTGCAGAGAGGTCAGCAAACACCACAGAAATTCCTTGCCCCGCCCAACCCAGGGCCTAGCATGTAGGCTGCCAACGACTTCAATCTAGAGCACACCCTCCCGGACTATGACAAGCACGACTGTCCCAACATCCAGCCTGAATTTGGACAATGGTAACATCAGAAACAAAAGGGGGTAAAGGAAAAGAAATAAGAAAAACACTGTTCTGAGATTTATTAATTTAAAAAATGAAAGGAGCCTCCCCTTCCCTTCCGAAGTGCATGAAAAGCAAAATCCACCCTCCAAAAAAAAAAAAAAAAAACCCAAACATTCATGGTGTAGTTTTTATTGCTCTCAGAGGGCTTGGTATTCAAATGCACAAGCTAATCTTTGTTAAATCAGAAGGAAGTCACTGAGATTTAAAACCTACACGTGGTCTCAATCTCCATTCATCTAGGAGTCTTCACAGCTCCTCACTGACTCAATATAGAATTTACACATTGTGTACTAATTTCAAGGGGAGGGAACGTAGCTGGGAAGCAAGAACTATTAATTCAATGGTAAAAGACCTAAATTTGCATTTTCCAGGTAATATGCCTTCACGGTAGTACCCTTCAACTTTTTCCTTTAAGATTTTTAGGGATTAGTGAATTAGCAAATGACATAAACACACAGAGACAGATGAGCAGCATACTGTGTGAGGAAAAGTAAGATCGAAGGCAGCCGCTCACCGCAGCCCCCCTGCTCGGTTGGGCTCCAAGGGAAGGGGGAGACGTGCTTTGTGGCAGAGGGAAGCTCTCTTCTGAGAAAGCACTTCAAAGCTGTCTTTCAACCTCACGAGGACTTGTGTGCACTCACTACCACTCATGAGCGAGCCCAGAACTGTGATTCGCTTCCCTGTGACCTTGGTCCCTTCACCAAGGTCACCATGCACAATTCAGTAGTGTCATTATGAAGGGTATATGCTGTTTCCATAAGTCTCCCAGAATGCATACTTAGGGCCAATGCATTGTTCCAGTTTAGTTTATACTGTTTTCCATGCCTCTTGCTTCCATCTTTTCCCCTAGAAAATTCAACCTGCCTCTATCCTGAACGCTGGTTACAGTATTATCAGAGATAACACCCATTATTTTTCTTTCCCTTGCTAAAAAAGATGAGGGGAATGTGACTTAAAAAAACCAAGTTGAACGTTTAAGACGAAAGTCCGATGCAGGCAGGGTGACGGTGGAACGGCCTGGCGGAGTGCGGGGCTCCAGCGGGAGGGGGGAGGGAGTCCCAGTCCCCCTACTCTGCCCAGCAGCCCGGCCAGGCCCTTGGCCAAACGCGCACGAAATACCTCCCTCTGAGGAAGAAACGGCTCCCACCAGGGCAGCAGGCTGAAGGGGACGAGGTCAGGGCACTCCGGTCACCCTCCCCCAGGACAAGTGCATCTGCTCGGAAGGGGGGTGGCAGCGGAGGGGAAGGCTCACCACCTCTAGCTTCCATCAGGAAGTTGAGCGCCATCAACAGATCAACTGTGAAAATAAAATCTCTAAAAGCTCCGTGTTAACAGTCTCCTTTAGAAGACAGGATGATGGTGACACTGCCTTTTCAAAAATCCAACAGTCCTGCGGGCTGCGGGCGGAGGTCTCCCCGGCTCCGGCCGGCTGGGGAGGGGGCCGCCCTGCACCCGGCGGGGTGACCGGGTGGGACAGAGGAGCTGAGCTCCAGGCACGGGAAGGACTCGACGTCTCACCGCGTTCTCGGGCTCCACTCGCTTTAAAACCGATTTAAGGTGTGTCAGGCAGGCTTAGGTGGGAAGCGCGAGGACGCTCCGGAAACGACCAGGGGGCGTGTCCCGCCGCCAGCCCCGCCCAGTGTGCTTATCGCCGAGGGGACGTCCCCAGGCCCCGCCCCCATTGCCTGGAATCGAGGTGCCAGCAGGTCGGGACCGGCGGGTGCTCTGGGGACGCCGGGACCCGCGCACACCGTCCCGGGGGCGACGGGGGAAGAGAGTTTGCAGGGAGAACAGGGGAGGAGGCGAGGGGCAGGGGGAAACTCCCGAGATAACGGATAAAAACCAAAAACTGGATCTAAGTGTGAGAAGAGAAAGCATCCAAAAGTTCCCTGTCAGGCAGAGCTCTAGAGAGACGGCAGCGGCGACACCCGTTGTCCCGGGAGCAGCGGCGACACCCGTTGTCCCGGGAGCAGCGGCGACACCCGTTGTCCCGGGAGCGGGTCCCCCGGGCCGCTCTGCCGGCAGCGGACGCGCAGGTGCGAGGCTGGCGTCTGTCTCCATCTGCAGGCCTTCCGACTGCTTTGCTCTTGGCTCAAGTTTTATTGGTCAGTATTAGTCACCAGTTAATAAGAAAAATAGTTTCTAAGTGTCTTTTTTTCCCACCCCCGCTCTGTGTGTGTTGTTGTTTTTAATTGAGTTAATTGGATACCACGGTCAGGTGTGTGTGTGTTCAGTCACAGCCGTTCATTATTCCTTTTTCTTAAATTCTTGGTTTCCATAGCTGGAGCCTTTCTCTATCTCAGTCACTCCTATCAGTCGGCGGACTCCAAAGGAAGCTTTAAAATAGGAAACAGGTGAGGTTAGACCGATTGCTGGCAAGCTGGAAACATCGTCATGGGGGCGGGCGGACCTTCGGCCTCAGACTTCCCTGGGGGGGGGGCAGGCCGGCCTTCTCCCCTCCTCCGCCCCTCCCTGCCCTGCCCACTCAGCCTGTCCCGGGAGGCGGCCAGCTCTGCTCCCCCACCAGCCCGGGGGAGTGTGCGCCCGCTGCGGGGAGCAGTTCTCAGCCAGGGCTGAGGGCCGTAGTGCCCAGCCAGGTGCCCGACAGACCGGGTGCCCAGCAGTGCACTCAGGGCTGCAGGGCCTCGAAAGCGTCCCGGGAACCTCAGCCCATCACACCAGCCCACGCCCCTAACTGCCCGAGCTCAAACCGGTGGCCCAGGCCCTCCCCACACAGCTCTTAGAAGGAGATGCCAGGCGGGCGGATGGCCGGCCAGCTTTCTGGACAGATGGCCCTGGAATCTGGCTGTGGCCTTCACGGCCCTGTGGCTCAGTGGCCAGAGCAGCTCTCTGAGGCCGGCAAGGCTCAGGTTGCATCCCGGCTCCCAGGTGACCATCTCCAGGCCTGGGCGCCACAGCCGGCACATGGAAGACTCCCAACCTCAAGCCGCGCCGTCGCGCCCGTGCATTACCTGCCCCGACAAACCCCAGGAACGTCAGGATCAGAAGAGGAGACCCACTGGCAAAGACGCCTAAGACAAAACTGAAGAGAGGAGACAGGAGAAGTGTGGCCCAGAAGAGGAAGTTCAGGAGTGTCCACGGCCGCCGGGCGGGTTTGAACTGCTCCCCCGGAAACACGCCTTTCTGGTTATACATCTCCTGCAGCGCATCCTGAAACAGTCGACCGGTGTGCTGTTGTTACAACCCCACAGTGAAAAGGGACTCGACCTATAAATAAAGTGGACGGGCCATGCAGGCTGCGGGTGGGAGATGCAGTTCGCATGACCTTCGTGGAGAACCTCGGTGGCCTCTACCGAAAGCTTGAAAAATACAAACCCTTCGACAGGGCAGCTTTCCTAGGAAAATTATCAGCCGGTGCCTGGTGCGCGACACGCACCTTCAACACCCAGGACTGCGGTGTCGGCCGGCCCCTCACTGTCTCCTGTGACATCTCCAGGGCGAGGGTGGCGGCCACCACCTGCTGGGAGTCCAACGGCCTGGCGTCACCCCCCGCTGGTTTTATCACCCACAGAAAGCTATTTAACCTCTCCTTCCTCCGTGTCCTGGTGGCTAATGATGGGAGGACAGAGGACCGGGTGAGGACATGAGAGCACCCTCAACAGGGAAACGGGACACACGCTCAACACTGAGCACCAGCTGCCTGAGAAACTGCGACGCTGACATAGATTTCTCTGTGGCCACGACACGTCACATGCTAACAAGGAGATACACTCACGATAGTTTGTTTTCTGAAAGAAGTTAAGTGCCACGCAATTCCGCTCAAGTGGAAATGTGTGCGCCTACGTATTTGTCTAGGACGGAGTCTGGAAAGTTGCACACCCACACGATCTGAGTTACCCGGGGAGTAAATCTCACCTGTCCTCATTTTTTTTCTATTTTATTTTCTGCATTTAGCTTTCTACAGCTGTGTTGTGTATTACATAAAAACAGGGCAGGGGGATTAACAAACACCCAGCCCCGCAGCCTCTTCCAGCTTGTGGTCAGGCACCAACTGTCCCTGCTGGTCGGCGGGGCACGGGGCAGGCGCCACAGGTGCTGTGCGGTCAGGAGCCACTGCGACCCTTATGCCCGTGTGTACCCTCCGGGCGACCACATGAGCCCCCACCAGAAGGCCCTCCCCCGTGCAGCCCCAGAACATCTTCAAGCCCGCTCGCTCAGCCAGCTCTGCTCTGGCCACCTGCCCCACGCAGACGGGCCACGCTCTCCTTCTGCTCCCGGAGCACCTGTCAGTGGGCGGAGGGGGGGGGGCGGGGGAAGCAGGGGCGCCCTGGGGCTCTCGGCGAGCTCACGGGTCAGGTGAACGGGGCCCGGAGACCACCCAGAGACAAGAAGGCAGGACCTAGCCCCGCAGGAGAGTCCACTGTGCTTACAGATTTGCACCAAGTTTGTGACAGACCTTTTGATCACCTGAATAAAACACACACACCCGCTCTCCTGGGGAGGGACCTGCCACACACACTGCTGCTTGTGTCACTCAGACATCATGTCCTTTCTCCTAACCCTGACGCCTTGCTTCACCAATCTCCTCTTTTCTCTTTCTAACCTCTGTTGAACGTGCTTATTGTGGAACTTTAGAGAAACTGACCCCACCTAAACCATCAACACCTCCAGCCTCCCTTACCGTTTTCCAGTCCCTCCCTCACCCCAGCCCTCGGGGGCTCCAGGCCCTCTGTCATTACAGGCCCCTTTCCTTCACCGACCCCACTTGGTAAGCACAGCAAGCATGGGGGAGCACAGCGGGGGGGCAGAGGCCGGGAGACCTGGGGACAGTTCCACCCAGAGGATAGTCACCTCCTCCTCAGGACCTTAGTTCCCACATCTGCAAAATGGGGAAACTGTCTGGAATGACCTTCAAGGCCCTTTGGTGACACCGAGGTCTGTTTCCACGTTACGACCAGAGCTCACTGGTAAGTGACCAGAGGCGTCAGTGTCTCCGGAAACACGTGTGTTACAGCAGGACCAGAGCACCCAGTTTGGCTGCTTCAGGGTCTGCGTATTCCCTGGCAGGGGGCAATGGGGCCGAACGCGGTGCAGACCCCCTACTCACAAGACGGGGAGAAAGGGCTTCTCGTGCTCGGCTGGGGACATAACGGGCAGGCTCTTTGAAGCACAACTTAGAGACATTTCACAAGGGACCAGAGCCTCCTACCACCAGTCACAGCGTTAACATCTGGCAGAAACGCTCCCACACGTGCCCTGCCGCGTGGGGAACAGCAGAAAGTTCATAAATAGTTCATAAGTGTTCACAGGTAGGAAGACGACTAGCAAAACGGGGCGTCATCACATGGGAAACACACACAGTGGAGCACAGCATCTAAAGGGGTGAATTAAAGCTCTGTCAACGCTGAAAGATGTAACAGACAATGGTCACTAAAAACAGAACGGGAGAACGTGACACACAGTGCGGTCCCTGATGCAAATTACAATATAAGTGACATGAAAAGCGATAAAAAATGTGTATGTTTCAATATTATGGAAAAACATAGCAAATAATAGAAAATACCCAAATAAATCAGTTATGTCAAAACCTGTCACTTGCTGTATTTGCATCAGGTTGTTTTAGAAAGTAACCCTTAGAGATGGAGACAAGGCCTGTGGTCCATCCCCGCCAGGAGTCATCACACTCAGCTGGTGGTCTCCATCCCCAGGAAGGGCTTACACCTGCACCCCTGTGTGCAGGTACCTCTACGCTAATGCACGGTACTGCGCCTGTGCTGGGTGATTTTCTGAGAATAGCATCACATTATACGCCTGTTGCAATCTGCTTTCCTTTACACCTACTTTCTCAAGATTCATAATGTGCAGTTCATTCATTTTAACTGACTCACAGGTAAATGAATACACATGCATAACGTATCTATTTCCTAATAATGCACTTCTGGGTTATTTCTCATTTCCTGCTAAACAAATACTGTTGATTGCAAATGTCACTCTTTGTAAGAGTTTCAAACTTTTTTTACAAAATATTTATTTATTTGGCTGCGTTGGGTCTTAGCTGTGACACGTGGGATCTCTCGTAGCAGCGCACAGGCTTCTCTCTAGTTGTGGCGCATGTGCTCCAGAGCGCCATGGGCTCAGTAGTTGCAGCACACAGGCTTAGTTTCCCCGCAGTATGTGGGATCTTAGTTCCCCGACCAGGGAGCGAACCCACGTCCCCTGCATTGGAAGGTGGATTCTTAACCACTGGACCACCAGGGAAGTCCCTTCAAACTTTTAAAACTTGACCCTGATCCAGAGATGCGTTCTCTTCTGCAGCCTCGTGCACACAACGTCTTTCTGCGCGTCCACCATGTGAAGCACACACACTCTATTCCTTTTTATTTAGGTTTCCTTTTCTTCTGGAGAGTTCTATTGTTCTTGGAAATCACACATCTCATCCAAGTTTTCAAATGTAGGAGCATAAAGTTGTCATACTGCTCATACCACTTTCACTCCTTGCTCTTTGGTTGTGTCACCGTTTTTGTTCCCATTAATGCCGGCACTCTTTTTTAATTGGTCAGTCTTGCCCAAGGCTTTCTATTTTATTAATATTTTTAAAGAAAAGCTTTTGGTGCAGTAGATTCACTCTTCTGTAGCTTTGCTTTGTGCTTCAATAACTTACGCTATTTTTACTTTCTTTGTTCTCTCTCTGGGTTTACTCTATCTTGTGTATGTTTGTATAATGTATATGTGTGCGTATGTGTACACACATATATGTACACTGTATACATTCTTTGTATCTATCCTATTCCAGACTTGGGTTTCTTGAAGCTGACGAAACCCATGTTCATCAATTCTAGAAGTTTTTTTTTTTTTTTT